GTAATTTTTTGGTGTAATTGTTTACTAGGTAAATCAACTCCAGGCAAATTTATAAATATTGATTTTTGAAAACAAAACATTCATTCTACCATTTTTCTTTTTCGTTGTACTTCTTTTATTGGGGTGTCCCTACATAATATGATTTTTACAAACATAGTCGATCACAAATTTTCATGACAGTTTTTTGACGATCTGTTTTTTCGATAGTAAACTCTTTAAAGAATAGATATACTGACTCCGAGTTAAGTTTTTTAAAAATACTAGAGAAATAGGATAATAAAGTAATAGAGCTCTTTTTTTTAAACAATGGCATTTATTTTAAGCTAGAAAATCAAAGTAAAAGTTGTGAATATATGTTACAAAATTTTATGTAAGTAAAATTGTAAAAAGCTCTCTATAAGTTTAAAGAGCATCAAAAAGTGAATCTAAAACATAAACTTTTATTTGAATATATCATAATAGTTTAAGAGTTATTTTGAGTTTTGCGACGTTTGCCAACGATGGTCACCAATTTGTTTTTTTTGTGGCTCCAAAAAATAATAATAAATTCGCAAACCCCCAAAAAAATCCTTATGAAAATTTATATATATATGTGATCGACTATGTTTGTAAATCATATGATCTATTACATTGAAACCAAACGGAAGAATCTATAATGTCACTGAAGCTCGCACTTATTCTTACTTGTCCTTCTCATCGAGGAATACAGTAGGACCTTTAAGTGTAATTTAGAACTTTTTTTTATTGATATTAATATATATATATAAATTTGTCGATCAAAATTTATTTAATCTTAGGATTTGATCGATTTATTTTACAAATCTTACCCTCTAAGATTTACGAATCAAAATAAATAAATAAATATTTTAAAAAATGATTATAAATATTCAAAATAAATACAAATAATTATGAATATCTGAAATAATTATGACTGTCCAAAATAATTACAAATATCACAAATATTTGAAATAGTTACAAAATAAATTGCATATCCTTCATTTTCCACTTCAAAGATTTTCAAGGTTATCAAATTAATATTTAATTTGAGGATAAATTTAATCTTAAACCAAACCAAACCAAACCCTTAATCTAATCGGATTTTAATTTCTGAGGACATTATGTGAATATACAAATTTGGTAATTAATTGCGGTAATTTCCAAATTTGATTAGTACGCCACGGAACATTCGATTATTCGATTGTTATTTATTTATTAATATTATTATTATTAATATTAATATTAACAAATAAATAATTCGAATTCGAATTTGAATTTGAGTTTGAATTTGAATTTGAATTTGAATTTGAATTTTATTATTGTCTCTAAATAAAAAATTCCTTTTTGGATTGGGTCATATTTTTAAGTTTCTATTCGAACATTATTCGCGAATTTTTCAAAATGAATGTTTCTTGGCATGCATTGCAATGAGAAATTGTATTACCCTGGTCACAATTATAGTTTATCTAAAACCCGTAATTAGGGGAGGAACTTTAAAACCGAAATAAATGCTAAATCCAATTTGGTTGTTATTTTTTTAATCATTTATTCAAATTGCTACAAGTGGTTTGGTTCTACAGAAAGAATTTTCCAAAAAACCATGTATTCAAAAGTAAGATGCAAATTAGGCAGAGATCCGTTTAGCATCAAAATTCCGAGGGATTGGTTTTTTTCTTTGATAAACTCCTAATTTAATATTTAATCGATTACTCTGGTGCCGGATATTCTTCTTTATTAACGTCTTTAACAATAAAGTTGGTGTCTGCAACTAAGAAGTACAACCAGTTGCACGATTTAGAATATAAGAGTTGTGCAATATAGGAATCTGCAGAATTTCAAATCAGTACAGACACCAACTTTATTCATTTTGAATCAAGACTACAATCATTGAACTAAGATAAGTTATCAGGATTGTGCAACATATAGGATAATAATAGAATATTATTATATTCTGTGAATGATTTTTTGCCAACTTAATACAAGATCTTAGCAGAAAACAATTAATGATGCTGTGTTTTTAAATTATTTAAACGAAATAAAAACAAATGAATATTTATTTGATTGGTAGCTTTTATGGTCTTCATTGAGCTTGAAAACATTACAAGGATTGGTAGTATTTTCAAGATCGCCATTGAGCTCAAAAACATATAAAAAATATTTATTTTAAGGACATTATTGAGCTTGAAAACATATATGTGATATTTGATTGGTCACTGTTGACTTGAAAACATATATGGAATATTTGATTAGTAATTTCGAGGTCACCGTTGTTGAGCTTAGAACATATAAGGGGGGTAGCATTTTTGAGGTTATCATTAAACTCAAATATTTTATTGGCAAAATTTTCAAGGCCACACTACCATTAAGCTTGAGAACATGTAAGGAATATTGGTTGGTAACATTTTCAAGGTCGTTCATTCATTGAGCAATGTGATATAAATTTAGAATTGATCTACAAAAATAATCAATTAACTAATTTGCTTTTGTTGCTTCTGATTGGATGAATAAAAATCGCGTATATTTTGGCAAACCAAACAAATATTTTCTTTACAGTAAAATAAATGGCAACTCGCAAAAAAATATTAATGTTGAGAAAAAGGTTAAACAACAACAATAATGATGATAATAATGACGACTTGAACAATGTCTTTAATGATAATGAGGATTTTAGTAATAATAATAAATTTTATGGTATATGTGAAAATGGTGGTGATATTGATAGCAGTGAAAATGAAACTAATGATAGAAAAATGGTGACAACAAATATGGAGATAGATGAAATCAAAATTTTGAGAGAATCTTCTTTACATAATAATAATCAGGATAATAATAATAGCATTGATAGTAATAATAATAAATAATAATAACATGTCAACGCCACCAACACTACAGCAAGTAGAACAAACCCCACTAGACATGGGGGCAAATATTGGATGGGTGTTGTTGTCTACTGCATTAGTATGGTTGATGATACCAGGTCTTGGATTTTTTTATAGTGGTCTGGCAAGAAGGAAAAACGCCCTATCACTTGTATTTATGTGTATTTTGTCTATTCCTATTGTTTCATTTCAATGGTTCGTGATAGGGTATAGTTTAGCTTTTAGTCCGACAGGTGGCCCATTTATTGGCAATTTTGATCATGCACTTTTAAGAGGCGTTGTGACCAAGGTATATAAAAATGGAAAGATTCCCCAGTTGGCTCATTCCATATTTCAATGTATGTTTGCGGCTTTCCCACCAGCTTTGATAATAGGCGGATCAGCTGAAAGAGCTAGGACCATGCCAACATTAGTATTCTTTGTGATCTGGACAACTTTGGTTTATGATTTTATCGCATATTGGTGTTGGTCGGATAATGGATGGTTTGCACATTTGGGTGGACTTGATTTTGCTGGCGGTACACCAATACACATTTCATCAGGTGCTGCTGCTCTGGCTTATTCATATGTATTAGGTCCAAGAAAAGACATTGGTGAAGGTGATTTTAGACCTCATAATATCATGAATGTCATCCTAGGTACTGCACTGCTTTGGTTTGGTTGGTTTGGTTTCATTGGTGGAAGTGTATTATCAATTGATACAAGAACAATCTTAGT